ACTTCAGAAACGTGAATGGTTTTTGTAAGCTTTGAAAAATGTCCAGATTGGCCTTTGAAGCTGATGGCAAGCCACAGGTCAAAGTCATAACTTACATGTGGGCTGGCACTGTGGCCTGGTGGTTCAAGCAGCTGGATCCCCCATGGCCAGCTGTGCGGTTCTCAAACCCCAAGGTTTGAGAAACACATCAGGTGTACGGGTGCATGCCCAAAACCCCAAAAAAGGGAGAGATGGAGAAGAAGGAATCCCGGCATGTGCAAACCCATGGGAGGACACTCTCTTGTTCTCTCTGTCTCCTTTCAGTGAGGGCAAACTCCCTCTAGGAAAAAAACACACACACAGACACACACACACACACACACACACACACACACACAGACACACACTGTATTTGTGTGTCTGTTTTTAAGAGAGATTTTTGCCATAGGGCACATGTGCTTGCCAGGAAAACAGAGACAGACAGACAGTAAGCAAGAAATCACCCCCCAGGGGGGATGGCCATGTCACAATCTCTTCTCCTCCATTCTTCATTCTTCTCTTGGGATCTTGGGCATGCATGCACATGTACCCAGCATGTTTTAAGCCGGGTCTGGGACTCAAAGCACAGTTGACTATGTTGGAGTCCAGCAATGTAACTATTATGCCAACTGTTGGTCACCAACACACATTAAATTTTTTAAATTTATTTATTTTTTTTATTATTCATGCATTAGATTGCTATACATCATTTAGATTGTGAATAGACTTTACCCAGCATGATATATACCTCAATCTAGCCCAGTTGAGACCACCACACACATCCTCGTCAACAGATAACAAACCTTATCTGTGTCCCACAAGTGTCTTAACTCTCCATTCCCCCCCAAATTTCCTATGTTCTTTCCCTCCCACACTCTCTTTCTACTTTGTCTCTAGTGTCCATTACAATTTTTAATACTTTTATGTTCTCCAGTCTTTCAGTCTCTACCATAGAGTGTGGACAGTTGGTATATGTTAAATGGAGACATACAATGTCTCTCTTTCATAGCCTGACTTGCCTCACTCAGCAACAAATCTCCCATATTCGTCCAATTTCTATCAAATTCCAGGGCCTTATTAGTTTTTATGACTGAATAGTATTCCATGGAGTATATGTGCCACAGTTTTTCAATCCATTCATCTGTTTGTGGACATTTGGATTGGTTCCATGTCTTAGCAATTGTGAATAATGCTGCAATGAAAATAGTTGTGCAAGCACTTTTCTGACTGAGTGCTCTCCTGTCCTTTGGGTAGATACCCAGGAGTGGAATTGCTGGATCATATGATAGTTTTATTTGAAGGTCTTTGAGGATTTGCTAAAGCCACCCTGTACAAGAAGACTGGAGTAGGTGGCATCTCACTTCCTGACCCCAAAATATATTACAAAGCTGTGATTATCAAGACAGCATGGTACTGGCACAAAAATAGACGAGGACCAATGGAACACAGTAGAGACCCTAGAAATAACCCCCAAAACATACAGCCAACTCATCTTTGACAAAGGGTACCAGTCAATCCAGTGGGAAAAGGGAAACCTCTTTAGCAAATTGTATTGGAAAAACTGGGTATCCACCTGCAGAAAGATGAATCTGAACCCCTATCTGTCACCATTAACAAAAGTCAACTCAAAGTGGATCAAAGATCTAAACCTAAGACTGCAAACTATAAAACTACTGGTGGAAAACACCGGAGAAACTCTGGGAGACATTGGGGTAGGCAAAGACCTCTTAAGCAAGACCCCCAAAGCACAGGCAATTATAACCCCTATTAGAGAGGAGGAATGACATCAGATTAAGGAGTTTATGCACAGCAAAGGACACTGTAATTAGTGTGAATCGACAACCCTTGGAATGGGAGAGAATTTTTGTTAACTGTGCCACATATTAAATTTAAAACTATCAAAACATTTTTAAAAATATAATTTAGAACAGAAAATGGGTGTTTATTTTAAAATACAGTAACATAACCCATGGCTAAATTTATCAGTCCTAGCTGCTCTTACACTTTCTCAACTGTCAGCAGTTTTGTGCTCCTGGGGGCAGGGCCATATCTGGTTCACCTTTCCGCCCAAAGCACTCATCATGGCTCCTGGGAAATGCAAGTGCTCAAAACCTTTCATTGAACCAGTGAATGAACATATTTGTCATCTTAGATGGACAGGAACTGCCCTGACAACGCCAGGCTCCCGTCACTCAATGTCAGTTCTGCTGCAGAATTCTGGCCTGACTGGGTGCTGAGGGAGCTGTGCAGCAGGTGAGGGCCTTCTCTCCACTAGAAAACAGAAGGTAAAACAGTCAAAGTGAAAAAAAAAATCTGTGGCTCCTCCCAGGATTGCTGAAGAGCTGGCCCTCATCTCCATTCTGTTATCTCAGTCCATAAAAATGGGGTTCTGTGCAGCTCCTGGATGGACTACCAGATCCTCAAAAGGTCAGCATGGCCACTGTACCCATGTAGGTCAGACCTGACCCAACTCCCTGCTGTGCACCTACCTCATTCCCCAGCACAGAGCAGACCCTCCCCAAATGAGGACTGCTGCGCAGGTTCTGTCCTGCGGCTCCCCTCTGACCTCCCTGTGAGGCCCCATGGACTTGGATGCCAGTCCACCTCTGGCGTGCCTGCCTGCCTGAGTTTTCCCTGCCTGTGCACACCCCAGAACTTGGCCAACTTCTCCAAGTGAGTCTCTCCAGGCTCTTATCTGCTCCCAAGGGGGTTCTCTCACTAATCCCACTGCAATTTCCAAACAAACACAACTGCTCAGGTTGTCACCCAAATACTAGCACTCTATTCCTAGAGGGACAGTGTGGGGCTGGAGGAGCCCCTCTGCACCCAGAGCTCTCGTCCCATGCTGCGTCACTGGTGTGCACTGCCTTTAGATGACGGACACTTTGGTCGGGCAAAGGACAAGAGCCGAAAACCAGGTATGGCACGTCAGGGCACCGAGAGTCGGTCTGCGGCTGCCATGGAGAAGAGAGGGCACAGCCGCGGCACGTCATTGGGAAGGGTGGAAAGGAAGGGACAAGGAGAGGGTGAGGGCGGGGGACAATAATTCAGATGCAGAAATACCAGCCTTGCAAAACACTCCTCTTGTTTACTGACACTCTCAGGTGGCCTCCACATGCGTTTTAGCAAGTGACTTTCGACAACTTCCTCCATGAAATGGAGAGAAACAAGAAGTAGCCAGAGTTACCAGGTGGAGGAATCTGGCAGGGGCTGTTTGATTTAGGAGTTACAGTCTCAAGCTGAATAAACAGGAAACATTGCTGCGGACTGAAATAGCAACGCTAGTCTCATCGGGGAGTAGGAAGGAAAACTTAAGTCAAGAGTCCATGGAAGACCCAGCCATGGTGGTGTGTGGTGCTAAGATGCTGTGTCGCATAGGCTGGGATCACAGGTTCAATTCCCACTTCAGCTTAAAGGCTGGGCACAGTAGTGGGTACCTGGACCCCCAGCGACTCAGGAAGGCTGCGACAAGAGGACCCTGAGCTCGCAGTTGGCCTGGGGTGACACAGTAAGCCCCAGTCTGAAAGAGCCAGGTGTAGTGGGGCCCTCCCGGAGCCCTCGCTGGGAGGCTGAGGTAAGAGGATCTTGACAGGGATCTTTAAACAATAAATAGAAAGATCCACGCAAACCGAAGTGTGTGTGTGTGTGTGTGTGTGTGTGTGTGTGTGTGTGTGTGTGGTTTTTTATTGTTTTATTTTTCTAGATGGGATCTCTCTGTATTGTGATCCGTTTGCCTCAGCCTGACTCCAGGCCTGTGCACCCTGCCTGTGGAACCAGACCCTGGCTCCCACGTGGCTTGAGCCTGTGGACAGCAGAAGCAGCGCTCTCTACCACAGCTGGGCCGAAACGGAAATCTCACATTTGGTGAGCAGCGAGCCAGAGTAGATGCACAGAGCCCTTGCGGGTTCGGCTGCTGTCATTCTAGTGCACAAATGCCGACCGGAGCTCCAGGGCAAGGGCACTCATGGCAGCTTCATGTCACTGTCCCCTTCACTCGACCTCACCGGGGGGCTTCCAGGTCTCCTGTCTGTTTCCTCCTTTCCGAGCACTAACTTTCCTGGGTTATCCCAGCAGCACGTCCAGCGCCGCTCCACAGGAAGCATAGCTCATTTCCCATTCAGTCATCGGATCCCTTCCCATGAATCATTTCAGAACATTATTTTAAGCTCTTGGGAAGTAACCGAATAGTAATGCTTTCACAATAAGACCAAAACCCCCACCATTTTTCCAGGATAAATAGCCTTCTTTGACGCTCATGTTCTTAAGCGTACGAGGGAAGATTTACAGGTGAGCCAGCTCTAGGACATGGCAGGAAAAGAAGCCAGGCCCTTCAGCAGCTCGGCCCAGATATCAGTGGGGCAGATTAAATCATGCCCCGTGGACCAAAGCCAAGTTACACCAATGAGCACAGGCAAGGAATCACCGTCCTCTCCTCTTCTGGGTATCCTCTCGTAAATTTCGTAATAGAAGGAAGAAAAGAGCACAGAGTATATCAGGGACCACATTTTTCATTTCAGCTCCCCATTTCTTCAATAATGACTTCATTCTCAGAGGTAGCGCAGCAACAGAATCACTGGGAGCAAGAGAATTTCATTAAGGTCCTCAATTTTTCTTCATAGAGATAAATTATTTTGAAAGAAAGAAAAGAATAGGATCTACTGGTAGGTTATAAACTGGGATGGTAGAAAGGAAAGCCATAGATCACTTGCCTAAGCAGAGGCCAGGCTGTCTTAAGACAGACTCATTTTCATGTCTGAAACTCAAGCCACAGTATCTGCAGATTTCTGCATTCCTAGAGGTTTTAATGACGTTCATTTTCAAAGCAGCCATGCAGCAAAACATTGGAAACTTGAACCAAAGACCACTGAGTCCACAGTGAGGCCTGTGTGAGGCTCTAGACTCTCCAGGAGCTCTTGCAGGGGAAGGCGTCTGACTCCGGAGCTGCCCCCACTGAGCTTCCCGCCCCCGGAAACGCTACTTACGCAGCTCGCCGACCTTCAGGATCTCACACAGCATCTTGGTCAGCTCTATACTGCTGCGGCCAAAGGGGCATTCGTGCTTATCTTCCCGGCTACTGTTCTCAAGCACAATCTGTGGTGGGAAACGGAACACGTCAGGGAGGGAATCCACCTGCTGGAACATCAAGAACACTGGCTCCACTCTAACAAAGAGACCGAATCCAGATCTGTAAATGAAGACCCCTGGGACCAGGATTAAGTAGTAAGCGAAATACCTAAGGCCCAAATCCTCATGTTCCCAGGTCTCCTACAACCCTCCTCAAACCTGTAAGGAGGTTGTTTACTTTTTGGTTTTGACGTACAAAGAAGAACCCACGAGAACTTTCCAAAAAGAATATATAGAGACTTTCTACTTAAGTAACAGGACTGCTCTCTTGTCCTCCCAGCACTGTCTTCCTACATTCTCTTCAGGGAGCACAGATCCTGGGCTGGTGGTTCCTTCTTGGAAAGAGCTGGCTGGAAATTCCACCTAAATTCCTTCTCCTGCCAAGTAGGGAGGCCATTGCTGAAGTCTCAGAAAGGCCCCTTGTGTCTTCCATCTCTCCATGATCTGTCTGAGCACAAGAGTCCTCTTAGACTTGGCCGAGTCACCGTCTTCCCCCCAAGCCAGTCCTTTCTGGCTCTAACTGGGAATTCCAGTTTGGGAAAGCAGGAGTGGAGTGGGAGGAACTGGATTCCCACTGATCTGTGAATCTTGTTTCTCTTTTAACATTTTAGTATCTGACACTCAGATCAAGGGGCTTCCTTGATGGATGATGGGGAAACAAACTGAACAGAAGATAAAGGAAAGGAGACAGGTAGCTTCCAGCAGGCTCCTCCGCCAGCTCCCAGCCCAGGCCCTTGCATCTCACATTAACACACTATTAACATTTCATGAGCGCATCAATAATTAATGGGGACGTGATCTACATACACAGTAGATGGAATTACTGTGGCCAATAAATGCTCAGAAACATTTCCAAGGCACAGTTTAGTAGCAGGCTCTAAATTAAGTAGTGATTTAAGTAATCAATATGTAAATCAGCTTGGAGAAGCTCTTCTCTGTTCTTTAATGCACCATCCATCTTACCATATTTACCTACCAGAAGAGAAAGAAACCCTCCTTGACTGGCTTCTGAAGTCAACGCAGACACAAATATTTAAACTCACTTGTACAAGTTTTAAGGTCAGCATTCTTACAGGAATATTTTGGAAAAGACTCTAGCTTTGAATGCTGCTTATTAGATATTACTGTCATGATAATTCTTTTTCAAAATTTTCTTTCTTTCTCTCATGAAAAAGAGAGATAAACAGGTGGACAGAGAGATAGGCACCCCCAACCGGGTCTTCATGCCAGCCCAGGCGGCCAGACCACGGACACCCGTGCATACACCTGGTGTGCACGGAGAGTTCCCGGGACACAGAGGCAGCACCTTCCCATGAGGGCCCGTCACCACACTGCTGAGCCACACAACTCAGCGAGAAAGGTAAGTCATCAGCACACAGGTTTTGCTTTTGTTTTTATTCACGCTGACATGGCTGTATTCAATCCTGACATCCCGGCGTTAACCATATCCACCTGAGATACTTAGAGAGGCTTCATTTGGAAATAGCAAGACATGTTTTCATCTTTAATTTTCTCACTCTTCAGTTTGCAGTGCAAACATGCCAGAAGAGAGATCACAATGAATGAAGTAGTAAAACCTGCAGTGATCGCTTACCTTCTAACGGGCCATACACCAAAAGAAGAAAAAAAAAACAAAGAATTGGGCTGTTGGAAAAGTCATGACACAGTTTTGCATAGAAAAACACAGAAAAATACATCATGACTTTTCAGCTGACCCAATACAAACTGGTTATCTGTGCAATTGTAAATGTAAATTTTAATGTCTTATGGATTAAAGGGCATATTTACATGTTCTCTATCAGCTGGTTCCAACAAGTCCACAGAACTGACAAGGCAGCTCTTGTTACTGTCTTACGAACATTGACACAGAGACAACTTGCTTAGGTCCTAGCTAGCCGATGTTGGTCCCGAAGTTCAACACTCAAGGTTTTCAGTGACCACACCTCTTTCTGCCCCTTTATAGTTTACAATTTGACTTCACAAAATATTGCCAGGAAACCCAATGGATGTCATGTCTACGATGGCCATGGGAACTTTCGTCAATTTCCCGTCTCCCTGAAGCACGTCTGTAGATCCCAGACTCTGCTGGACAAAGCTCTACGGTTCTCTCGCATCTCATTCATCCTCTGAAGATTGACAGTTCCCCAGGGTGAGTGACCAAAGCTGCTGGAAGACCCCACAGGTGGTATTTCCATGAGTTCTGGCCTCCACACCGAATGCTCTGGGTTTCTTTTCTTTCTCCCCTTGTGCAAATCAGGACTCTACTTACCCTGAGCATGAGGACTCAGTGCTGAGAAAGGGCCAGCCATGCTCACGAACCCATCCCATTTCTGGCTCCAGGGACCTCCCTTGCCCTCTCCCCTCAGCACACGGCTGACATACTCGGCTGCTGTCTCTCACATGCCCTCTCCCCTTCTTTGTTGATGCTCTCCCCTTTGGGGCAGGTCTGATCCTTTCTGCACCTCTTGTAGCCAGCCCTGAGCAAGCCTTGAGGCCTTCCGCCATCCCCTCATTTGATGGGATCTCCTCTCCACTCAATCTTTCCATGTTGCTGTGACTCTAACCTAGGGTCTGACAAAGGACAGTGGTCTCCTCGCAGGTCACTGAGGACAGGGCCAGAAGTCAGACTGTGCTCTGTGCAGAGAAGGGAAGGCTCAGGATCTGCATCATCTTGATTCTGACACCAAGCTGCTTCAGAAGCACCACCAGGGACAGACTCGGGACAAAGCTGCCATGACTGGAATGGCTCTGCAGAGGCATCGCATCTCTGTGAGATGTGGTGACAGACTAACACCCCTTCAAGGGACTGGGGAGCAGATCAACTCGCATGGCGAAGGCAAAGCGCCTACAAAGGTTTCCCGGAGTTGTGTCTATGACCCCTTACTGCCTGCTCTCTTCCAAGACTGGAGTGGCCCTTGGCCAACATTTCACGTATCACTTCTACCAGCAACTAGGCCAAAATCTTGTGCAGCAGGACTGCTTCTCTGACTGTGGGTCTCGCGAGCCAATGAAAGCCAGTCAGAGGCCTCCTCATTG